AAAAAAAAAAAAAAATGGTTTGAGCAGACGTTTAGAGTCCTACTGCATATTTTTTTACCCTGAATATGGTGGCGACAGTGAGAATTTCAGGTCCTTACTCTGGCGAATATGACGATACTACCTTATTGTAGAGACTGTAAGCCTCCAAAACGTCGGTAAATTTCTGAGACCTATGTTGGTTATTGGTCTACTTGGGTTGCCAACATATAGCATTGATTTACCGATTCGTATGTTGGTACATACTGTAATCCATGGGGGCGAATTGAACATGGCGGCTTGTATCTTGAGGCAATTATCGAGAGGAATTGGATTTGCTGCAAAGTGTAAAGGTGTTTGTTCTTATTTTTATTGTTGAAGGATTATTAGAAATATTTAATAAGTCTTTGTGAACACTCGAGAAGTGTTATTGTTTGAGAAGGAATAATACAAATTTTTAGCATATTTGTAGATATGTTACATATATTCAAGTACAGGTACACAATTTGGAACCATTTAACTTGTTCATTGGGTTATGCTGTCTGCATTGAAGACTTGAGTTCGGTTCCATGTGTACACAGATGAGGTATGCTGAGAACTGAGATACTAAAAATAACAGAATGAAGTGGAGGAGACAGTATCGCAAATTTAGACCTTAGTAATCTAACATAACCTAAAGGGGTACTTACCATGTTGCCAGACTATTTGTTTTTCCTTTAATTGAGCCATAACAATTGTAAAATTATCTTTTTCTAAAACACTGCTTTTGTGCTAAATTATTTCTATGAAAATTGTTTTACGATAATCCTTTTCTTTTACTTTGAAAAATATTTCAGTTTATGGAGGCACTGTTTCAAGATTGACACATGGAGAAGCAGCAGCAGTAGCAACTGAAACTAGACGTAAGTGAGAAAATGTAATATAATTACGAGGTAATCATTTGTGTGTTTTATAACTGCTAAATTTACTTGAATTAAGTTTTATGTTGGAGTGGGGTGTGCAGTTGAAACTTACTGACTGGTTAGTGTTAAATTATTCATATGACATCTATTACAGAAACCTGCAGATAGTTCATGGTAATTTCCATGGTTTGGGGAAGTTTTAGAGGTACTGGAACAAAGAAAAATCCCAGAGATAAACTTTATTAAGCATTACAGAGGAGTTGTGTACAAAGTCATGTGTGTCACTTCTTCAGGATGACATCATAACACCGTGAGACAGGTTTTAGAATCATATCCGCACAAAGATCATTGACCCTAGACAGTTAATTTTCAATTATGCCAGAGTTGTTACACTGTTTCCTTATTATAACGTGCTCTTCTTTTACAGCAACTGTTCGGAAATTTGATGCAATTCAGCATTCACAGTTGACAGACTTTGGGAAATATGTAGCAGAATGTTTACCAAAGTATGTGCAGAAAGTCCAGTTGACATCTGGAGACGAGCTAGAGGTCTTGATCGCTCCTGAAGGCATCGTACCAGTATTACAGTTTCTGAAAGATCATCAAAATTCACAGTTTGCCAACCTGGTTGACATTGCAGGGATGGATGTGCCAGCCCGTCAGTACAGATTTGAGGTAAAACTTTGATTACAGATAATTGCAAAACTGAAAACCGTGAATTAGTCGCTGTTGACTACCAGTCCATAGAAGTGTTTAATCTCATTGTGCAATCTTTGTACAGAGTTTACAGATGAAGTTGAATTAAGCTATCCAAACTTAATCTCCCTGACTTAAGACTTATAATCTGGTGACTGAGGAAATTATTATTGCTTTTGGAGGTTGTAAGCCCTTGGGAAACTACGTACATAAACAGTGCCTACAAGAGCCATTTATTGTAACTCCATTCCTCTCTGTTCTTAGTTTGTGTTGTAATATTTATGGATATTGATCGTGACAATCAGATTTTATTGCTTAATGTATTTCACAGTGGACCAGAATCAAACTTCTGCAGCGGTAAAGGAATTCTGGAATAAGGAACTGTGGAAAAATAGCAGATCATTAATTATTTTTTCCATCTTGCATTTTTTTGACAAACTGGTAGTAGTAGTCTTTGAGGTTATGTCTGACAATTTTTTACATAAACAAAATCTGTATGTGAAATGTACGTGTACTTTACGCCGGTTGATACCACCAGGAAGAAGCACTGAACATAGCAGTTTTTACTGAAATAAGTTATTATGTAAATTTAGCGTGTTCGTTGCTTTGGTATGCAGGTGATATACAACTTGCTGTCCCTGCGGTACAATTCACGGATTCGCGTTAAAACGTACACTGATGAGCTGACTCCACTCGATTCGGCGTTCAGCGTGTTCAAAGCGGCCAACTGGTACGAACGAGAAATCTGGGACATGTATGGGGTGTTCTTTGCCAATCATCCCGACTTGAGAAGGATTCTTACTGATTATGGCTTTGAAGGACATCCTTTTAGAAAGGACTTTCCCCTTTCTGGATATGTTGAGGTAACATTTTTAGGTTCTTGTCAGTTATCAGGACACATCGCTTTAAAAATAGGTTAGGTTAATGTGTGTGGATAAATGACATATACTTGAAAGTTATTATATTTTATTTCAATAAATGACAAATTATTGTATTCGACTCTCCCGTTTTGTGTCCCGATAACCAACAAGTACCCATTTTTAGTATGTTTGTTTTGTAAAGTGTACTTGAATAAATTATAATATTTGCCAGAATGTCCTTCGCAAACCTAACCTTTTCCGCCTCTTTTTAATGTTGAAAGTGAGTCCACAGGATGTGTTTGTGGTGAAAGTTGAATGTATTATTCGTCTTTTGTTTTTCTTCTGTCGCCCCATATAGGTCTCTGGAAACCTGTGATGCGTCATTAATGTCTGAGGACCATTTATTTAAAATTGGATCATCGTGCAGTTTGCGCAAATGAAGGAATTTGTATAGTTGAAGTTTTTGTTGACCAGTTTACATGCCTTTCATGAGTAAGGAATGTCGGCTTGTGTTATCTTCGTGCTGTTTATTAGGTCTCTTCATAGTAGTGACTTTTATGATTGGTAGAAATGAATGGAAACTTACATGCTTTTGAGAGGTTAAATTTGTGACCTTTGCCCCAGTCCGCAACAGAATTAATACTGTGGGTATATAATCTTAGAATGGAAGTAAATCAAGAAATGTTCTTTCCTTATTCACACCGACAACGTAACAGAAATTTCGATAGAAATTACCTAGTTGAAAGTTTTGTTTTTGCGCGGTAGAACGTTTGTTTCACTGTACCAAAAATTTAATCACAAAACTTGTCTTTCTAATAAATTGCTAGTACTTGTAGAGAAGTGAACTGTATGTGAAGCTAATTTGTGTCAATGTATTCGGAAGCCATAGCACATGCTTTGCCTTGAGGACTCCGTGCTTCCAGCGGACTATGACGCTGGCACAGAAATATGTCAGAGCGTTACAAGGCAGATACCAGTGAACGCGTTAAGCATTTTCTGAGGTCTTGTGGTGTTCGCTGTGTTCACAGGTTCGTTATGATGACGAGAGAAAGCGCGTGGTCGTCGAACCGGTCGAATTAGCTCAAGAGTTTCGACGATTTGAACTGTCGACACCCTGGGAACAGTTTCCTAACTTCCGTGATGTTCCAGCTGCTGCGGAAGAGGTGCCTGTGGACCCGAAAGAAAAGAAGTAAGGTCTAGAAGTCGCACTTCCTGTAAGGGCATCGCAATCGATATTTACTCTGCATTAGACACAAAAATAAAATGATATTGTAATATGTACAGGTATTAAAGAAGTTGTTGAACATTGTATTATATTTATTTATCGGTAAGTATGATTTGTGTTATATGTGTTATATTTCAGGTGTCAAAGTACCTCATATGAATCAAATTTTAACATGTGTGAGACAGAAAATTACCATCAACAGTACTTTAAAAAAAGACAGTGAATCGGTTTTAAAAAAATTGTTTATATACGTTTATACACTGACAGAAATTGGAATGGTTATTTATAAAATGTATTTCTTCCAGTATTTGAAAATAGGTTATAAGTGACAGGAGAACACTAGGTTTGTAGAGCGCAAATTTAGTATCAAACGATCTGTTAGTTGATTAGAGTGTCACCTTTGATCATGGATGAAATTACTTTTAGGCAAAGAAGAAATTATTTCATGTGCTATGTTGTTATAGATTGTGGAAAATAAAAAAAATTCTGCTTTGGGCATAATGTTCGTACCAAAATTAATCAAAATCCGTTTAGCATTTGGCGATATGTAACATGTACTTGCGAACAGTTAAGATCAGCCCTACATTGATTAGTATTACGCACGTATAAAAGTCTGATTGCCGGCCAGAAATCTACATTAACACAATGAGTTGGGTCCATGGGTTCTACGACTTATGTTTTATTTGCCTAAACAGATTGACGGAGGGATGGAAAGTGGTGTGATAATGTATTGTGTTGCCAGTAGAAGAGACAGATGACAAGCTGTATTTGGCACGAAAGGAAATGCTTGAAGAGACATTAATCGCACGGTCTTTCGATTTCACATTTTACACAAATCGGATCATGTTTTAAGGTTTATTATCGGTGTCAAATGGAGCGATCGAATTTTGCATAAACAGGCGTCTTTCATCTGCATTACAGATGCAGAGGATGAAGTATGCAAAGCGGGCCGTGACAGCCAGATGAAATGTTTGCTTCCCACCGCCGACTCGAGGAGTTTTCACTGTCTTCTCGGCGAAGACAAATCTTTGAAGCCCATCCCTAGGGACCTCTCCTGCACGTCCTAGATTGTGGTCCATAATTCCTCAAAATGACTTCTTAATCCTCGTGGATCCCGGACTGGATTTTACATCACCCAAACTGAAATTAACAGGAAGTCAATATTTCGACTGTGACACGTATGTTTCGAGTCTCGAACCCGCGATAGTCTTTGGGTTTGTGACACTGGTTCCTGTAATAATCTCGTCTAAAGAGCTTTGGTCGTACCGTCGCTCTTATATATTGTTTAGTTTCCGAGATACTGAAGGCATCTTCATCGAGACTTGAACCCAGAACAGTCTGTCGGAGTTCTGGTCTCTTTTCTGTAACATAATCTTCGATAGAATCAACTTGTCTCGGAGCCTTCTTATATCATGCTTAGTTTCCGAGCTATAGAAACCTTATTAATCGAACTCAGGACAGTTTTTAGGTATTGTCACCGTTGTTTCTGTCATCTGTTCGAAATGACTTTGTACCGTTCTTCTATCGTTCTCAGTTTCCGAGGTATGTGAACCGTCCTAACTGGGAATCGAACTTAAGGCACTTTTCCTTTAGCTTTTACGCCCATACGTTCTCTTTATGGTTTCAGCGTGTAACCGTGCCAAGTTTTGTTCGACCTATAATCGAATAAACAAATAGAATGCGATTTATGTAGAAGTGTCGACAATGATATTAGTTCAGAAATGTGTTGATTAATTACAGTTTTCTCGCAAAGTTTAGGTCAATTAGCCTGTCCGTTTCATTTGCGGTATTTCTGAATCCCGCTGAAAAATCAGATAGTATCTTTGCTCTTCATCATGTTTTTCAGAAGCTCACCAGTGGGCATTACTAGAGCTTATAGGGAAGCGCCTCTAGCGGTTATTTTGATAATTCCAGGAACTCGATTAATGCAGTTAATGACAATAAATTTTCTTAAAGAGATATATTTCTTATTTTCATGTTTGATATAAATTTATATATTAAAAAAATTAAGCCTACAGTTTTACATTTCGCTAAGAAATCTGTTCGTGTCGCCGAAGGACAGCCACATTCTGACCAATGAGAATATTCGATTGTGGGCTGATGGCGGAAACAGATAAGCAGCGCGGAGGGATTTGACACGTGTTCTGTGTGCAAGAATTTCAGTGTTGTGTTATGTGATTGTTCTAGCAGTTCTTCGTTTTGTGGAAGGTGAGTGTTACAAAATATGAAATAACTTTCCTGCAGCTTCTTATAGCATAATACATAGATTTACAAGGACAATAAAGCCTGTAATTGTGTGTGTGTATCATACAAAATCTGGCGGATGTTCGGTCGTGACATTGAACTACGCAAGGGTTAAGTCACGTCCACTGTATGCACAGGATGTTTCAAAAAGTATTTACACGCATGATAATACGGAATATTAACTTTATAAGTCAGTTGTTCACGCTGCCAACTGTGCCACGAAGCTAACGGTGATCGGGTTGAACATCTACAAAAGATTAGCTAATTCACTAAGTACCAATGCTAACGTATGAAATTATTTGGTTTATTAATATGTTTATTTCATTCATTGATTGTGTGTATACATATTTTTGGGACAACCTATATGTATTGTTCGGTGACGTATTTGTGTTCTTTGCGTTGACATTTAAAGCTTAATGTTGTAATTAAACTGTACTAAATTTCAGTGGGAACTATATGTACTATATGCTTTAATACCCAACACCTGTGCATCTTGTATGTATAGGTCTTGTATGATACTCTCTGCTGTAAACAGCGATTGACAAATTGGTCTTTGTAATGGTGAAGAGTTGTGTTTTCTTCGCGGTAAGGACTGCACTCCTGATAGTATATGGACGAGCTCGCGGCTTTAAAGGGTTACATTTGTAATGGTTCAGGCATGTAATATTTATTTTCGTGTTGGAAGATAAAAACTTTCTTAGAGGAAATAAACAATGGCGAACTTAACTGCGTATTAGTTGCTATATGGAAATGGAAAGTATTCGAACTACAGTGATGCGTAGAATGTTTAGTGCGTAAGCATTAATTGCGACTGGCTATGTGCAATAATGCAACAGGAGGTATGACTGTAAGATTATAATGGGGCAGATTCGTGTATATGGAGACCATACACGTTAGAGGACTTTCTGTTGAAATTTAAGTTGATGTAAGATGAGTTTGATATTTCAGGCCCTAAGGTTCTAAATTACTTTTCTGCCCTCGCAGCCGAGTTGTGAGTACCGTGTTTAAATGCTGAAACGTTACTTTGGAATGGGCCATGTCAGCTTTCTGTCACATCCGTCCGTATTTATCATACATAACCATCATCCTATCCGCCGTTTTGTAACGTATTGAGTAAAGAAAGCGTAATGTAGGCACATAAACAAAATAACGCTAATTTAAAACTAGGTACACATGCACTGAAGATGCTTACGATGAATCTTCCAGCTCTGATTTCAGGCTTTGTCTTTCTGAAGCGATTTTATTTCTGGAGAGAAACCGAGTTACCTCAGCATAATGACTAAGCTTCGGGGTGGATGACCGGAGTTCGATTCCCAGCAGGGTAAGACGAGACCGGCTCTGGGGCCCATCCAGATTTTTATCAAACTTCTAAGCATGTTTTCTTCTCGGAGTAAAGTACCCGGAACGTGAAGCTAACCACTCACCTCTGTCTGCTTCCACGTGCACCTTAATGAGTGGTGCTTGCATAAGTACAAGGACAAAGTTTTATTTTCAGAGAAGAGTGAGCTGGCAGGTAATGTGTCTGCCGTAAGTAGTTTACTTTGCTGGTGTAATAAAAAATTCATAGCGTTTCTCGGTACCACACATCTATATATAGATGTGTCGAAGATTCTCGGCCAATATTTCTTAATTTTCGTGGCTGGAAGGACGTACTGAAGTGTGATATATGGTCGCCACATTATTACTTTGTGGCTGGTGGACACAACATGTCTTTGTGTTGTTTACACATTCCTTCGTGCAGTAGCTAAGCTCTGCTATTTTTCTCCCCCGTCATTCGTTACTACTGATTCACACACAGTATAGCCCTATAAAAGTTGGCATTATGGTCAATTTTTTTAGCTCTGTTTATTAGTGGAGCTCGTTTTAATCCAATATAAGTGACATTTTCATGATTATTGGCATTTGACGTCATATTTTCACTTTCAGACGAAACGCTGAATAGAGCTGTGGCCTTTTTGGGCGTGGTCCAGGGATCGAGGCAGTATGCTGGACTGCCAGTATTTTAGTTTTTGTTGCGTTGTTGAGGGCAAGGAAAGTAGTGACCCTGATGATTCTGTATGAATGCGTCTAAGTAAGAGGTTTTGTTATTAGATTTTTCAACAAGGATTCTGCTCCATGGACTTAGTTTGTCTACAACAGAGTTAATACAGGGAGTTTCATTTAAAACGCAGCCAAATAATCACGTACTATGGAAAAATTATGAAATCAGGAACAGCTCCATCCTCGTGTAATAATATATTCTCCCAACCTCTTTCTTGTGACATTCCGGTCAAGGTCGCCCTAGCTGCTAGGCCGCTGCTCAGTCCAGATGCGCAAAAGCCTCGCCTTGTGTTGTTTGCTTCTTTATCTGCTGTACCTCAGATGCAGCCCTAGAAAATGTTGAAATGATTTGACTTCGATTAATTTTCCGCTGGAATTATAATCAAGACAGTGTACAAATTCCAACATGTTATTACTGTAATTTATTTAATTAAAACGTGTCGCGGCCCTCGAGTTGAATACCGCGACAGTATGATGCACAAAACACGCAGAAAATGCGCTTGCGCGTTATAAACGAGTAATATCGAGAGGGGGGTCTGATGTTGCGTCTCTGCTATCTGATCGCCTCCCTTTACCCATTCATTGAGGAGGGGGGATAGGGGTAGGTAATTATTTAGGCGCCCGCATTGTTTCGTTTCCGCCCGAATGGCGTCCTTATCTCGACCGCCCCTGGCGACAGACGCCAGGAATTGAATAGTAACAATGGCCAGGTTAACAATGCTATCACGCCTGCCTCACTTTACAACTTTACAATACAACCCCTGATCTACGACGGCTGTAAAAGAGATTAAATTGAGAAA